GCCCGGAGGCCACACGTCCACCCCAGAGAGGCAGCTGAACGCCGGGCAGAGCCCCGGGTGGGGGGCCCGCCGCCCCCGCTCAGCGCAGGTCCCAGGGGTGGTGGGGGCCTGCAGCTGGTCCCAGGTGGGCCCGCGCAGGGCCCTCCGCCCTCCGCCGCCTCGCTCGGCGCGGGTCCCGGGGGTTGCTGTCCCATCTTAAACCAGTTTTATCTTGGTTAAACTAATCTTTAAAGTGTTCTTTACTAATAAAAACATATTATAAAATTTGGAAGCTAAGCAGGGGAATGGGAATGCGAGTATTGTGTAGCATGCCATTCTTCCCTGTCTACCTAGTTTAGTTTGCCCTGCTAGCTCACCCATTTCACCTTCTGTTCCCTTTTTTTTTTTTTATAAGTTTATCTTTTTATTTACTTTGTGAGCATGAGAAAGAGAGACAAGGACAGTAAGTACTGCCGACAATATTGATTCACTCCCAGGCTTAGCCAACCCTGGATCGTGGGCATGTGTGTGACTCAGGAGGGACCTCTGTACTTGAACTGGCAACCTTCCCATGTGGAATTACCTTACAGAGTGTCATGTTTTACTGTTTTGCCACCGTTTGTCCCCTTAGTTCCATTTTCTGAAGAGGAGCCTTGCATGAATAAATACGTTCACTACATTACAATTGTCCACCAGCTGACTAGTATCTGAGTTCTGTAGAATGTTTTCTGTGTTATTTTTAATTAAAAAAATGAAGTTCAGTAATAAACAATGAGTGTGATTGTATTGCAAGTTTATTATAAAAAAGTTTATTTGGGGGCTGGCAAGTGGGCTCATGACTAAGGAGAAATAGATTTGAGTAGCAATCAGGGAACTGCAACTTTAGTTGCAGTAATTTAAACTCAGATATGTTCATAATAATGTTTAGGCTTTTTTCTTAAGAGTTTTCAAAACTAGTTTTGTTTTTGAGAGATTTTTGCTATAGGGTGTGTGCACTCACTGGAGAGAGACAGAGAGACAGAAAGCAAGTAATCACCCCTAGGAGGGATGGCCAAGCTGCAATCCTTTCTCCTCCATTCTCCTCTTGGAATTTTGAGCATGCAACATTCGAGTGTTAATGATTTTACTTTCAGCTACTTACTAAAACATTAACGATGAAGTTTTCTTATTACCTTTAAAATGGTGGAATTTTAATCCCAAGTCAGTAGATCTAAGGTAATATTTCAGTTGTCTATGGTAAATTCACAAAGATGATTCTCAGGATATACTAATATTATGATCCTTCTTCTTTGTCCCTGCCATAATGACCAGACCAAATTAGAGAGCAAGCGCACATGATTTATGTAGGTAATGTAAGTCATACCACCAGTACTAGAATCTCATCCTTGGCCCCCAAAATAGGAGTCATCTTCAACTTCAGTGTTTCCCAGGAGAGTAGCCTCTTGTTTCCATTTCCATCCAGCTGTTTTTGTGCAATGCATTTCTTTTTTCTAGATTGTTTACTATGGGGCACATGTCCTTACTGAATAGAGACAGAGAAAAGGAAACTCTCCTTTCGGGATTTTCGCGCCCGGCATGAGTTTTTTGTTTTTTTTTGTTTTGAGAGAGATTTTCGCTATAGGGCGTGTCTGCTCGTCAGACAGACAGAGAGAGACATAGAGACAGAAAGCGAGAAATCACCCCCCAGGGGGGATGGTCACACCGCAATCCCTTCTCCTCCATTCTCCTCTTGGGATCTTGGGCATGCACGCACACGCGCCCGGCGTGAGTTTTAAGCCAACGGGTCCGGGACGCGAACCGCGGTTGACTACGTGGGAATCCAGCGACATAGCCATTACGCTAACTGCTGGTTCCCAGCAATTGACGTTTTAAAATAATGTTAAGAAGGATGGTAGAATGCTAGTATCTGTTAAAACATGTACCTTTATTGGGGGACCAATAGATTGTGTAATGGTTACATTGCTGGGCTCCCATGTAATTGACTAGTTCGAGTCCCTGACCTAGCTGCTTAAAACTCATGTTGGATGCATGTGCATGTGTGTCCAAAATCCTGAGAGGAGACTGGAGAAGAAAGAATTGCAGTATGGCCATCTCCCCTGCAGGATGATTTCTCGCTTTCTGTCTCTCTTGTTTCTCCGTTGAGCGCATGCTTCCTATACCAGAAATCTCTTTAAAAAGAAGCATACCTTTTTTTTTTTTTTATAAGAAGACATCTTTATTTTTATTAAGTATTTATTTAATTGTTTTGCTATAGGTCATGTGTGCTTGCTGGAAAGAGAAGGAAAGTGAGAAATCACCCCCCTCCTTTCCCGGGGTGGGGAGGCGCTAGCCACACCATTTTTCAAGCTGCTAGGTCTGGAACTAGAACTATACATTTGCCCATGTGGGATCCAGCTGCCTTAACTTCTACACCACCTGCTGGACCCAAAATGTATACACATTTTAAGGTAGCAATATGAAGATTAAGCAACAGTTGAAATCAATCAATACTTGTAGGAATGTAAGAGTGTTAAAATAAATAGATAATAAAGACCCCTGAACTGCTCCTTTTGATTTTCCTTTAGCGTATTTAAATAGAACCTTAATCTCTTCTTTCTTTATAGAATACTATGTTAATGAAAAACTATCTTTATTATCAGATTAATGGAAAATACAGCATCCACATTGTTAAAAAGCACAGTTTAAAAATTAAAATGATAATAGTTCTATTATTACTCCATTTACTATTAAGATGATTCTATATTATATTGTTTATTCTAATTCCTTTGTCATTTCTCTCCTTCTGTCTGTTTGTTTGCTATAGGGTATGTGCACTTGCAGGAGAGAAAGAGAGAAAGAGAAAGAAAGAGAAAGAGAAATTCAAACCCAGAGGATGGCCACACCACAGTTCCTTCTCCTCCATTCTCCTCTTGGGATTTTGAGTATGCACTCACATGTGCCCAGTGTATTTTAAGCCACTGGGTCTGGGTTTCAAGTCATGTAGTTGTCCATATGGGATTCAGCAACCTTAATCTCCACACTATCTGCTAGCCCCTCTCTTATATGTTTCAGACATATTTTCATTGACAAAAGATAAGCAGTTTCATTTTATCATGATAATGAATTATTGTTTGACTGAAAGCTAAAATATTAAGTTTTAAAGTAAACTTCAGTTGACAGCAATACATGTATACTTTGTACTTTACGTATTTTTTAATTTCCCAAAACCAAGTCAAATGAAAGTATATATTTAATATAAATATAAGGTTGGAAATTCTACAGATAAGCAGGAGAAAAAATGAACAGTTATTGCTGAGAAGTAAGTATCATTATGTTGTTTCCCTATATACATATAGATTCTTTTTTTATTTAACTTTATTTATTATTATTTATTGAATTTTTTAAAAATTTGACCAGAGCTAGACAAATAGAGAGAGAGGGAAAGTGAGAAAGCAGACTTCCAGGTCCAGGACTCAAGCTTTGGTCAGCCATGTGGCAATTCAGCACCTTTAACCACCATGCCACCATGCCACCTGCCAGCCCCATATAGATTCATTTTTTAAAAATTTTGCTAAATATGGTTTTGTGATTTTTAAAAAAATAATTATTTTATTTTAACTTTATTCATTTATTCTCATTTGACCAGAGAGGGGCAGAGTGAGAGAGGGAAAGTGAGAAAGCAAGCTGCTAGGTCTGGGACTCGAACTGTGGAAGTCTAGCGCCCTTAACGTGCCACAAGTCTGCCCTGGTTTTGTGACATTTTAATTAGTTAAAATTTGACTGTATTACAAACATTTTTCTCTTTTATAAAAATTCTTTTACCACGCAATTTGTGTGTGTGTGTGTGTATGTTTGTTACTTTTTGCTGTAAGTGTGCGCTCATCAGATAGAGACAGAAGGAAAGTGAGAAAACACCTTTCAGAGAGAATGGCCGTGCCTTAATCCCATCTTTTCCATTCTCCTCTCAGGATTTTGGGCATGCATGCACATGTGTCTGGTGTGATTTTCAAGCTGTCAGGTTTCGGACTCGAACCATGCAGCCAGCCATGTCGGACCAGTGCTTTAACCTCCATACCACCTGCTGGCCCCCTCCACAGTTTTTAATCCCTCATAATACTGTCTGGTTTTTTTTTTTTTAGAGAGGATTTTTGCTTTAGGGCACATGTGCTTGCCAGAGAGACAGAGACAGAGAGACAGAAAGTGAGAAATCATCCCCCCAGGAAGATGGCCACATTGCAGCTCTTCTCCTTCATTTTCCTCTTGGGATTTTGGGCATGTATGTACACGTGCCCGGTGTGAGTTTCAAGCTACCGAGTCCAGAATCTTGGTCAACCACATGGGAGTCCAGTGACTTAACCATTACGCTATCTGCTGGTCCCTACTGTCTGGATTTCTCACTTAGAGTTCTGAAAGGAATTGAGGAAAGATGGTTTAAGGGTAAAGTGAATTTTTATAATAGAATTTTAAAAGTAATTAGCATTTTTTGTTAATTAAAATGTTTATTAGGTTCTTTAACTGGGGGGAAAAGACTAGAATATCTTTTGAAATGAAGAAAATTTTACTATGTAACATTATTATATATTTTAAAAGTTTTTGTCATAGGGCATATGCCCTTGCCAAAGAGACAGTGAGAGAGAAAGTGGGAAATCGTATTCCCCAGAGGGTATGACCATGCAGTCTCTTCTTCACTCTCCTAAGATTTGGGGTGTGCACCCGTTGTTTCCACGTGCTTACTAGATCTCCGTGTGGTGCTCCACAGATTTCCCCAGTTCTGCACACCAATTCTACACACCCTATTCCACTGCTTTTTTCTTTTCTTTTTAGAGAGATTTTTGCTATAGGGTTGGTGAGCTCACCAGAGAGAGAGAAACAGAGAGAGAAAGTGAGAAATCACCCACCTGAAGAGATGGCCATGCTCCAATACCTTCTCCTCCTTTCTCTTGGGATTTTGAATACCCATGCACACATGCCCAGCATGAGTTTCAAGATGCGGGGCCTGGGACTTGAACCATGGTCAACCATGTGAGAGTCCAGTGACTCAACCACTATACCACCAGCTGGCCCTCTGCAACTTTTCTTAATGACTGACATCACCATCAGCACCCAACTAGTCTTCTAAACCTCACACCCTAGCCAACTCTAGCATTTTTTGCCCTCCTCCCTCCATTTCAGTCAGTCACCAGTGTGATTTTCAAGCCGCCAGGTCTGGTAGTCAGTCATGAGGGAGCCTAGTGCCGGGCCTTAACTGCTTTACCACCTGTTGGTCCTGTATATTTACTTATTTTTAATTTTTTTTTTTTTACATAGACTTCACCTATGTAGTTACATATACTTTGCCTCCTAAATATTTCTGTATAGTGCTTCTCTCTCTCCAATCCAGTTGGCTTAATTAGACATCTTAGTTATCCGTCACCAAGACCATTGCAATAGGCCCTCTGTCTCTCTGCCTCCCAAGTTGCCATCATTTCACCCAAGCTACCCAATACCATTATGCCATAGTGACTTATTTATTAAAAAAAAAAAAAAAAAAAAAACAAAGATTTATTAAAAAAAAAAAAAAAAGTTTATTTTTTTAGAGAGAAAGCGAAAGGGAGCCAGGCAGGCACCCCAGGGTGTTTGCACATTTACCTCCAGTCCTAGCCAGCCTGGATCATAGTCGTGTGTGCGCTCTGTGCTCAGGGAGGTCCCAGGATGCAAACCCAGGAGATGAGCCCAGAACCTGTGCTGTGTGGATCTGCCTGTGTTACCGCTGCACCACCACCTCTCTCTGCACTGATACTAAATCCTAAATGTAATGATCTCTCTTATTTCTTTAGAAATTTTTTTAGATAAGACCATAATCAGGATATTCTTCCTTGGCCAGAATTTCAGCCCAACTCCTTTTTTTTTTTTTTTTGGAGAGATTTTCACTGTAGGGCGCGTGCGCTTGCCAGACAGAGAGAGACAGAGAGACAGAAAGCGAAAAATCACCCCCCCAGGGGGGATGGTCACGCCGCAATCCTTCTCCTCCATTCTCCTCTCGGGATCTTGGGCACGCACGCACACGCGCCCGGCGTGAGTTTTAAGCCACCGGGTCCGGGACGTGAACCGCGGTCGACTACGTGGGAGTCCAGCGACATAGCCATTACGCTAACTGCTGGTTCCCAGCCCAACTCCTTCTTGAGGTAGTTTACCCCTCGCATTTTACACTCAGTACTGATCTCTTACGGTTGTGAATACAGCCTGACACTTGACATTTCTCCCTTCCCTCCCTGCCTTAGCAAATGTTTCCCTGTGCCTTAAATGCAGATCTCTTCCTGACCTCCAACTCTCCTCCCTTTCATACGTAGCACACAGCTTTGTCTGTCATTGTTACTCATTTTCATTTTCCCCAGTGTTGTGAGATTTTTTTGTCCACTTGTTAGCTTTCTCCCTCAGACTAATCACCTAAAGGACAAAGGAGTCGTAGTCATTTTAATATTCTCAGTACCTAGTCTGTCTTTGGTGTAAGTCAGCATTTAATAAATGATATGAAATATCCAGGAAACTGAGGACTTTTGGGAGGAAGCAATATACTTAATGGAGAACCGAAGAGTTCTGTCAGTTATGTTTGTTTTCAGTGGTGTGTGGGAGAAGGAGTAGATTAACTCTTGAGGCGTTCAATGGCAGAATGAATGTTAGTGAAGTAGCCTGTGAACTCAGCCGTGAGATGAACTCAGAAATGAGAATGTGTGAAGTGACAGTGGCATCTTACCTTTGTCAAGAATCTGGAATTAGATCATTTGAGTTACAGTCCTGGCTTAGTCACTAAATGTAGGTTTCTCTAGGTCTTAGTTTCTTTGCCTTTTTACAGAAGAATAGCCATTACACTAAGTAATTATAATGGCTCATAACGTTTTGAAGATTAAATGAGCTAGTATCTTAGGGTGTAGATGTATGGCATCAAATAGTAATTACTAATGTCTATCGTATTTGAATTAGTCTTTTGTTTCTGGATGCATTTAGTAAAACTTTACCGTCATGTTAAATTAACTATCACATTAATATAATTTATGTGCATAAATTCACAGCAATTTAAAAAAAAGAGAGATTCAGTTGCCTTTTTTTTCCCTTGAAAGATTTATTCATTGTGCTGATGATTCCCCAGATCCTTGCATGGAATATGAGGTAAGAAACTTTTATTTTGATGTCATTAATAATCCTAGATGAAGATGTATTTATTTTTAAGTGAAATGAATGAAATTTTTAAAATTAATTTCTCTAGGAGCCTAGAGACACAGTTTTTAAATTTATGAAGTATATCACACATAATTAAAGAACATTATATATAGACTACATATATCCAGAATATGTGTATTCTATTTATTTATTTTTCTTATTTTTTTTAACATTTAATTACTGTACATCTTTTTTTTTTTTTTTTTTGAGAGACTTTTACTATAGGGCATTTGCACTTGCCAGAGAGACAGAGAGAGACAGAGAGACAGAAAGCAAGAAATCACCCCACAGGGGTATGGCCATGCTACAGTCCCTTCTCCATCCTCCTCTTGGAATTTTGGGCATGCATGCACATGTGCCAGGCATGAGTTTTAAGCTGCCAGATCTAGGGCTCAAACCACGATTGACTATATGGGAGTCCAGTGATGTAACCATTACATCATCTTCTGGTCCCCTAATTACTGTCCATTTTTATAGCAAACAAAATGAATTTTTCCAGCATGAATGCACTATATATTGGTCCAGTCAAAGATATTATCATATCAATTATTATCCACAGATAATTTTCCATTTTTGTGTCCATTAAATGTTTAGCTTTTTTCTTCTTAATTCCTTCCCTTCTGCCTCCCAAGAATATACATATTCTTTAATAAAACCTACACCTTCATATTCATCACCCAGTTTAAACTGGTGGAGTTTTGTTTTTCTTTAATTTGCTATAGTGTGTATATGCTCACTGGAGAGAGACACAAAGAGAAAGGGAGAGAAAGTGAGAAAGCACCCTCCTAGGAGGGATGACCATACCACAGTCTCTTCTCTTCCATCCTCCTCTCAGGATTTGGGGCACAAAAGCACACATTACTAGTATGTTTTTCAAACCACTGAGTCCAGGACTTGAACCATGTAGTTGGCCATGTGGGATTCAGTTATCTTAGCTAGCCCCGACCTGGTTAAGTTTTTATGTTTTTCTTTCTAAGTTCATGATCGAGTATATATATGTGAAAGAGCTAGAAGCACCCTTGACACAGCGTGTTTATTCTGTTTTCATCTCCCCCAACCCTCATTCCAGTTCTTGAGATTGCCAGGATCCTGGCACACATGCACGTACCCAGTGTGTTTTCAGGCCAGGGACTTGAACTATAGTAAGTACGTGGCTTACAGCTCTATAGTCCTCTGTGCACCTGTGCCACAGAGGCTGGGCCTATACCAAAAACAATAGTCATCACTATTTTGCCATTTATTAAAAAAAATACTGTTCACTCATTTTGTAAATAATTTACAGAAGAGTAAAAAGACAACTTTATTAGGAATTTCAATAAGTTTAAGCATAGTTAACCCCAATTTTTATTCCATATTTTCCTAGTTTTCAAAGTATACATGAGGCCAGCAGGTGGCATGGTGGTTGAGATGCTGAACTCCCACATGTTTGACTACTAGTTGTGTCTCAGATCTGGCAGCTCGCTTTCTCACATTTTCCTCTTTCTCTCTCTCTGGTGAGCACACGTGCCCTAGCAAATTAAATAATAATAATAGTAAACATTTTTAAAAAGGAAAGTACACATATACACTCTGAAATGGATAGTGTTCTTGGATTCAACTAGCTGTTCATCAGCCGTCATGAATAAATCTGGACATGCTGTTATTTTCCTTTCTAAAGATTTATTTATCTTTATTTATTTATTTATTTTAATTTGACCAGAGAGGGTCAGAGAGAGAGAGAGAGAGAGAGAGAAAGTGAGAAAGCAAGCCACCAGGTCTGGGACTCTAACCGTGGTCAGCCATGTGGGAGTCCAGCGCCCTTAACCACCACGCCACCTGCTGGCCCCATGAACATGCTGTTCTTTTAAGAGTTGATTCCAGGTATCAGCTATGTATACCTAATACGCTCTTACTTTCCATCGTTCCTGGTTCTTGCACTTGCCTTGTCAAAGTGCAATACGTTGAAAACATTGACAGCCCCTAATTTGTTGAGGAGAGGATGGCCATCTTTGCTCCATAATTGCACATTTTCATTTCTGGATTTACAATACCAATTAAAATTTGTTCAGTGATTTTTAAAAAAATTTCTTCAATGTGTGTGTTTCTAGCCAATTTTGTGTACATGCATGCTTTCAAAATTTGTCTACTGACTCACTATATTAATTTTTAGTATGAGTGTACATATTAGCATATTTTAGTATATAAATAACAGATAATTTATATTTACCATTTTCTATGTCACCAGTTACCAGATCTTAGAACAGTTATAAACAAGATCTTTACATGCCATTTGAGAGGGTTTTTTTCCTGCTTAATAGTGTAGTGTGAACATTTTTCCAGGTGACTAAACAGTCTTTTATAACTATATGTATATACTAAATTCATATTTATTATTTCACTAAACAAACATCTATCTGTTATGTACTTGTTAAGTCATATTACTTTTTGCCAGGAACACAAAAATGAAAACAAGTACATCTTTAGTTTTCACCCGAGGCTTATCTTTGTTGAGATGTCACCATCTAGGACCAGCAGTTGGCGTAATGGCTATGTCGCTGCACTCCCATGTGGTCGACTGTGGTTCGAGTCCCGGACACAGTGGCTTAAACTCCTGCCGGGCGCATGTGTGTGTGGGCCTAAGATCCCGAGAGGAGAATGGAGGAGAAGGGATTGCAGTGTGGCCATCCCCCCTTGGGGGTGATTTCTTGCTTTCTGTCTCTCTATCTCTGTACGTCTTTGTGGCGAGCGCACACGCCCTGTAGCAAAAACTGCTCCAAAAAAAAAAGAGAAAAAAAATAAAAGACAGAGAGAGATGTCACCATCTATCCCCAAGATTTATTTCATCAGCAGTTTGCTTTTTTGCTTGTTTTGGGAATACTCTGTTCTCATGGTAGTGCATAGGATGTAAAACTCAGTTTTAAAAACCTAGGAAAGTGATAGTGTTCAAACAATTAAAATGAAAATAGTTACAAGCAGAATCCTATGTATTGTGTGCTCCTGGCTATATGATTTCTTTTTTTTTTTTTGAGAGTTTTTTGTGCTATAGGTTGTGTGCTCTCACTGGAGAGACAGAGAGAGAGAGACAGAAAGCAAGAAATCACCCCCCGGGGGGGGGATGGCCATACCACAATCCCTTCTCCATTCTCCTCTGGGGATTTTGGGCATGCATGCACACAGGCCTGGCATGAGTTTTAAGCCGCTGGATACAGGACTCAAACAATGGTCAACTACATGGGAGACCAATGTCATAAACATTGCACCATCTGCTGGTCTTGACTGTGTGACTTTTGTTTTTAAGAATTATTTATTTAATTTCATATATTGTTGTTGTTATTTTTTAAAAAAATTTGACCGGAGAGAGAGAGAGAGAGAGAGAGGGAAAGCATGAAAGCAACAGCCAGGTCCGGGACTTGAACTCCGATCAGCCATGTGGGAACCCAGTACCTTTAACCATCATGCCACCTTCTGGCCCTATGGCTGTGTGATTTTCAAAAAATATTTACACAATATGTACTTGTGTATTTATAGGATACTTTTGGAAAGCTATCTAGGAAACCGAATGTACTTACTGCCTCTGAGGAGGACAACAGAGGGACTGGGTGGGAGAGACTCCCTATTTTTTTAAAATCAGCTACAATGTATGTATTACATATTACCTGTACAAAACACTCTTTTGATAAAGGTTATGCCAATTTTCCAAAAAAATTACTATTAGTATGCTGCAATTGCTTACTTATTTGTTGATTAAGGAAAATTCTGCAGCCATGGGGACCAACAGTTAGTGTAATGGCTATGTCGCTGGACTCCCATGTAGTCGACTACGGTTAGAGTCCTGGACTCTGTGGCTTAAACTCACACCAGGTGCGTGTACAAGCTGCCTAAGATCCCAAGAGGAGAATGGAAGAGAAGAGATTGCGGCATGGCCATCCTCCCTGGGGGTGATTTATTGCTTTCTGTCTCTGTCTTTCCGGTGAGCGCATGCGCCCTATAGCAAAAACCTCTCGAAGAAGAAAAGAAAGTTCTGTAGCTGTTAAAGTGTGTGTGTATATGCACACCAGTGTCAGCTTTTAAAAAAATTTTTACATCAACTTTACTTATTTATTTTAATTTGACCAGAGAGAGAGAGAGAGAGAAGGAAAGTGAGAAAGTAAGCCACCAGTTATGGGACTTGAACCATAGTTAGCCATGTAGGAGTGTCCAGCACCTTAACCACCACACCACTTGCTGGTCCCCAGATTTTTTTTTTTTTAAGAGAGATTTTTGCTATAGGGTATGTGCACTCACCAGAGAGACAGAGAGAGAGAGACATAAAGTGAGAGATCACCCCGCTAGGGATTTTGGGCACCTGCGTACATGTACTGGCGTGAGTTTTAAGCCACTGGGTCCATGGTCAACTATGAAAGTCCATCAATATAACCATTATGCCATCTGCTGGTCTTAGTGGCATCAGCTTTTAACAGATGAGAACTGTGCAGTATTTTAGTTGGGGTTCTTTACTTAATCATTTGATCCTTTTATCTCACTATAATAAAAGATTAAATCAATGCATCTTAATTTTTGAAAGCATATTTATAACTTTTTCTTTAAAGAATAGAAATTCATTACCCAAAAATTTAAAAACACAAGAAAATAAGAGGAACCTACCATCCAGCTTTATCTTTAGTGTTTACATTTTGCTTTTTAACTTCCCTTTTGTGTGTGTGTGTGTGTGTGTGTGTGTGTGTGTATACATACACATTTTCTTTATAAAATATTTTACATTCCATTTAAAACTCATTTTTTTCTTAGAGCATAGTGTAAGCATTTTTCCAAGTCATTAAATACTTTTTATAACATGATTTTTGGTTCCTACCTATGTATTTTCTTTCTTTTTTTAATCTTACACATTTTCTGATGTACATTTCTTAAGCACCTTCTATGTATTACATATTTGTGTGGGGAACATAAACATGAATAAAACGCAGTTCCTTTCCTGTAGAGATCTTAAAATATAGTATGGAAGAGAGACCCATATCAGATTGCCCTGGTAATATAATAACGTGCTTGGTAGAAGGTTATGTACAAGAAAAAGAAATAAAGGGAAGCACAGTGGAAGGACACTGAGCCCCTGGGGTACTTCAGAGAATGATGCTTAGGGTAATCCAGCTTATGCCTCCGGTCTAGAAGGGCAAAGAGGTACAGTCAGCATGCAGGAGGGTGAGAGTGCTAGACATTAAATTGCACTTAATGTTGCAGAAGAACAGGACCCAGTTGTCTTCAAAGAACAGTTTCTTTATCTTTTTTTTAATAATTATTTATTTAATTTTATTCATTCATTCTTTTTTTTTTTTTGTT